AAACGCATTTTTTGTGCGGGATACTTATGTCTCCTCAAAAAAACACAGCGCAAATGAATACGAATATTCACATACTATGCGAACATATCTGGCTGCCGGTTATAAGGCATAAGGCAAGCAGAAGATTGGTAAAACAGATATAGATAAATTGCAGGTGCGAAATTAGGTCTGAAGCCCATTATTGCAGAGGTTTGCAGATTTGACAGTTTCTCTTTCGATTATTCCCAGCATCAGACTTTATGTTTTTTTTGTGAATCGTCTTTCACTCGTTTTTTTTTTATAAATTTTTAAATCCTCCTCGCACCTGCAGCGGTTAGTCAATCCGCGGCAGTTCAGGCCTTCTATGAATCTCGACCAGAAATGGTATATATAATCTAATTTATACAGACATATCCTAATATTAAACCAGTTCAACACCTTATTTTAGATTTTTAGGGTAATGGCAGTGCGCGCATCACTCCTACTTATCATATGAATGTAGGTAAACCTTCATATAAACTTGATAACTATTCTATAGTTAAACCTGGAGCTTGTGGTGCCTTTTCTTTTAGCCTGCGGTAAAGTCTCAATACGGAGTAAAAATGAGCATCATGCATTCTATGCAAGCGAATTGATTAATTCAATTTTAACCTATTATAAGTACTTATTTGACTGATTTCCAAATATAGCTTTCTTATAAGACACAGATTACAATAGTATTACATATTCTGTACCTCGTCAAACTGGTATAAAAGAAACTAATGGAGCCAGAATATTTTCCTATTCAGTCACATGATATGCAGTTAGGACCCGAATAGGTGGATTTTTTGAAAGTGATTATGAAGATCTTACAGCCAATCTTGCCTATATCCCACCGGAAATATATTTTTAGCCTTCTGGGACGTAAACAACATGTTCAATTACTTTGCTATATTCATAATTAGTTTACTATATTTCTCTTTGAAGAACAGTACAGTGATAGACACATATTAGTGTAAAATATACTAATCGTGAAAATCTACTTCTTAAAAATTACACATGCTGTGTAGAACATGTCGATAAACGTTATTCGAAGCATCTAAAAACAGCTTCATTAGTATTACGCCGTGTAAATTATTAATATGCTCATTAATACTGTAGTACATGGTGGATAGCCTGGATGACTTAGCCTGTGGCTAAAAAAGGTTAACAGTTGCTACTTCGAGTTCCGTCGACAACAAACAGGAATAACTCCGTAATCTGTGTGAAAAAAGAGCCTCCTCATTATTGCTCTGTAGATATTTTCCTGTCGACTTACTTTTTCGCTTAATCGACATCCCGACTCCCCATTATATTTTCCTCTATAGTATCTATATGCCTTTCTTTCTGACACGAGCGAACTCGTATTCGCACGTGATGAGTTTGTTAAGTTTGACCCGCCCATTAAAGACGGGTCCATCCCGTCTTCTTTAGAACATGTCATCCAAAATCTATTCACCATATCTGTATGTTTATTTTCTCCGCAAGTTAGCATTAGGCGAGATTGAACGTCTTCGATGTTGTACAGAGCAGGAAACTTGATACAAAACAGAAAGCTTCTTAATCTCAGGCATTGGTCATTGGCATTGGTATTTTTCTTAGCTAAATACTGGCACCTGTAAAGAGCTGAGGATTACCTTCTTTTGTGATACGGTTGATTTTGTTAGGATGTTTAAAAATACTACCGATTCCGACATACTTTGTATAAGAATTTGTTTTGCCGAAAATCGACACAAAATTAACCCAACACAGGAAACGTGCTGTATAACAAAACCAGGCCAAATTTTACAGAGCTGTTTTATACAACTGCGTATCCATACGATAACATATTCGATTGGCTAGCTCTTTATTGAAGCATTTCGACATAAAAGGCGCTTTCGTTACGAGCAGCAACAGTGCGCTAACCTCTTGACCAGGAAGAATCCTCAAGCTTGCAGCTTGCTTTAATAGCTTCAGGAATGTGATTTCGATTGTTTGACCTGCACTAAAAATCAATGCTAGAACAAATAGCCTTTCGTCGGACTATTTTTATTCTTAGCAGCTATGCTTATAAATCCCCAGGATTCCTGTGGGGGACAATATTTACCGAGAATGTCCCCATGTATTAATCCCGTTCAGAATGTCTTCTTAAAACAGCTCTAAAGTTGAAATAGAGTCATAACTATGACATCACCGAAATAATGAGTAAATAATGGTAAAAAAACCTTTTGATGCATTAACTTCTTGCTCGGCAGGCTTGCTTCGACATTGTTCGGCCATATAAGAGCTTCGGCTTCCAACAGAAGCGATTTCATAAGGGCAAATTCATCGGATCTGTTAATTGGCATCACATGAAACAAACCTACATCACCAACGGAGCGACCAGCGAAGGCAGTCAGATATTAACAGCATGCGTCATGCGAACCAAACGAATCCAACTGAGAAGAGTTGATCTCGCTTACCTGTATTGCAACAATTTCCTGCAATATTCGAGCTTTTTGTATGCTGGGTTGCGACGCAGGTAGCGTGACATTTCGCATTAGACGTTCGCAAGCTTAGTCTGTTGTTTTCTTAGCTGTTTAACGTATCAGTTTCATAAAGAGGTTGTTTTTTGGTTGTATTACGGCACAGGCTTTACCCTTCCTCCGAACCATTTTAGCAGAAATACAAAACCACTTGTAGTAAGACAGTGGTAATGGAAGACACGTGCACTTCCTCATTTCGTTTCTTTGTCTTTTTCATCAACCTGCATTCACGCTCGAGTGACGCTGCCGTCTCCAATTGCCTTCAAATGTACCCGACTCCATTCCTTTTTACCCTTACAGTTAAAGTCGTTGCGCGCTCCTCAAACCATATCGATTTTCTCATGAGCTTATTGCTCCATATTACCATATTCTAAACATTTAATTTCCTTTGAGTGATCGCTTTCGTTGGCTAATACGAACCTTTCTTCGAATGTATTCTCTCAAAGCTGTTCCAAAGTGATTAAGGCTTCGGCAGGTTGTGCTTTTACGAGCTGGTTTCAGTAGGAAAGACCTCTATTCCCTAACTCGTCGATATTTTTCCACCTTTGTCATGATTTTTTAAGAGAAATAAAACCCAAAGAATATGAAGAACTCATTAAGTCTTAGCTAGTAATAGAGTTGGGACATTATGGTTTTGAGCTTCTCCCATCCAGACTCTACGGTAGCAAAGAGTCCTATCGTTACTAAAGGTTCTGTATGACTGATTCTCCGCATGCTGAAGTGTTCCAGTTTTTTCTTTTAATCTACATATTTATTAAACACTCCGTCGATACTTCTTTTAAATACGTATATGATAAGGAAATAGCCAATCTTTGACTTTAGTCCTGAATTTTAATTTCACTACTGTGGAAGCTGTGGTGTGAGCCCGACGTAGGCCGCGTACAAAGCTATACAGCAGAAGTAATTGAAAAAAATACGAAGTGCAAAAATTAACAAATAATATTTAACATATACGCACAAACAATAATCTACATATAAGGAGTCGACAATTTGTACTCAAAACAAACAGTGAGCCATGATGAAAACTAACGTAACATACTCCTTTACATTTTCATGTTTTAAAACTATACAGAACTATCTAGACTAATCAATGACTAACCAATGACTCAGCCTACAAAAGTACCAAAAAAAAAATTGTAATAACCTGCCACTAGAAAAAGTAATTATCAGTAAAGTACATGGCTACTCGTACAAAAACGACAGGTGTTTTTTGAACGAGAACATGAATTGAAGTAAAGCTTTTCGAATTAGTAACAAAAGTCTTCACGTTATAAATGCTAACAAAAACAGTATTAGACAGAGCTTTAGGACCTAAAACCTTTTAGCGTCGATAGCTTCATAATAATATTATAATGTCTCTGACACAGGAACAGGGTTGCGCAGTTCAATTTTTACGTTACGAAGAAAGTACCATAAGGCAATAACCTCCGCCGCGCATCTGAATTAAAGGTATAACTATATACATAATAAATAATAACTATATACATATAAAGGTATACTAAAAACCTTGGATAGAAACGTGTTAACGATTTTAAAGGGTAGAAGAATTTGGAAGTGGTACCCAAGTGATAAATTTTAACGCCCTCTTTGAAGCGTCGGAGCCGTACGATTCTCATATTCTGACCAAGGTATTCAATAAAAATTAAACATTTCCGTAAAAAATCCAAGTTAAAGAACAACTGAGCAACTTCTTTCTGCAGGTAATACTCATAGCTTCAGTAGAGCTGTGCTCAAGTTACGATAAACGGCAACCTCCAAGAAGCATATCATCAAGCACAATGCCAATGGATCTATTGTAGAATCGACACCGGGCACATTACTCCAAAGTACTGTTAGGACTGAGCGTTGGTCCTAGGCACATAAAAAATTATGTAGAGGTGTTAATTTATGTCGGTTCTTGTTCTCTTTGTTGGTCTTATCCAGTAAATTACCATGCCCTGACTTATTTTAAGGTATATACTATCTGCGTGCAATAGAGCACTGAGACTCTTTCAGGTAATAGGAAATTACAAAAAGCCCTAGAAGGTTACCCTCTAGTAGCTACAGATCTAGCCATATCGAATGTGAAGCGTTAAGGCAATAATATTAAACTATTTTGGCCTAAGTTTTTACGTGAAAAAAGCTAAAGATCGCTACTTCAAGCTCCGGTGACGACATATACTGCACCAAAAGTGCGATTAAACAAAGAAACAAACATATTAAGTGACAACGAATGATAATATAATGCTTTCTTTCATAATATAGTGGATGTTCGGCGAGTTCGCATAAACGTTTTTCGAAATTTACTTAAATTTTACAACTCGGCTTTTTGTCACCTTAATTTTCTACCCACCTTGAAGATCATGAAAGTGTTTTTTAGCAATACTCCTTACAATGAAGATCCACAGTTGCGCATACTGCAACCTCAACACTCGAGCATCATATTTGAAGTTTTACAAGTGACTTCAAGGAAAATAGTATATGCATTTTTCTCATATAACGAAAATGAGTAAGATCAGATAAAAGTGTAAGATGATTTCCAAATGTATTTATTAATAAGCTTCCACGTGTTGCAACCGCCTGTCGTTAACGTTCAAACACCACGTAGTCGTCGCATGCAGATTTAAAGGCGCTTAATGGTGCCGCGTTCATTGTTGGACTCCCCACCTCTCTTTGTTTTCCTCTTCATACTTGAAGTACAGTTCCATGCAATCCGTGTCGGAAACATGCGTCCATCCATCAGGCTTCATATGGTAACACCTTACGATACCTTTGCACAACATATTGCAAATATGACGACAAATTGAACGGTTGCTTTTAAAATCAGAAAATCTAAAAAAAATCCTCTTTTTCATAACAATAGGTGATATATTCACGATGATTATTAATAGGTCGAAGAAAGTGGCAATTTTCATTTACTATTTTGTCATGTATTTATTTTATTAGTTTTTTTTTGTCCGCCGTCCTATCATCGCTTCGTCGTTATTCTGTTGACTAATGTCATTTGACTAATGTTGCGAATCCTGTTTCTACATAATAACTCCGACATTTTATAAAATAAAAACTATCTATGAAAAGAAAACATGAGAATATGAAACAAATATGAGAAAAATTAGAAGCATTTTAAAAGTATAAATACGACCGACAAATCAGCAAAATTGACGTTATAAAAATCGAGTTAAACTTATTAAGTTAATGATAACAAAGTTAAGTACTAAACAGATATAAACCGACAATAAGAACAAGAGGTCACAATCGTATTAACTCTTTTTAGTTATCTCCTCAAGTTTTTATTTTCCTCCACTAATTTCGCTGTTTTTTAGATTCGATTTTTTTGCGTACTACATGGTTATCAACAAAAAAATTGAAAGAGAAAGCGATAAGTAAAAACCGCCACCAACTACCAATTAACCTAATATAACAATAATTATTGTAGCTATTATTATTGTTATTATTATTATATCATTAAAAGATACATTTTAATGACACAGTTCAGTGTCATAAAATGACCTTTTTAACAGCTATAAATACTAAGTAAAATTTTACTTTAGGTAATTTGTTACGTAACTATCCGACATACTTTTTTCCTTTCTTACCTCCAGAAGCGAAATCTCGGAACGTGGCTGCAGTGATTGCTTTCCTGCCCAACTCGTACGCCTCTTCATCAGTCATGTCAAATCTACAAACGTTACGACAAAAAAATTATTAATTCACAACATAATGAAGGCTTCTACTGATTTTCTTTCAGAGTAGGAGGCATTACTACTTTAGAGAGAGAAAGAGCTTTAAAAAACCGACTTTTTTTTTTAATAAATATTAGATAAAATTGCTGTCGTGATTCCACGCACCGGTAGTTGGTGTCGAGGACGCCGAGTGCGTATGGTGATCCAGATCCGCACGAAAATAGGTTGCCTGACATCCGGGTACCCGAATTATCGACCCAATACAAACCAGGTCCACGTTTGTCGTAGCCAATTATCATAGTTCCCATGGATAGACCCATACCTGTGAAACATAGAAAATGGCGAATTCAATAACAATAATTATCATAACGTTATAAGTGTAGTTATTGGTAAACTAATCATGCCGTACACCGTGAATGAATTAAAATAGTATGAACGCATACAACAAAAAAGAGCAAACTGAACTATTTCTCTGCACCTTTGTAATTGTAGAGAATGTTTGCAAGTAGTTTTGAGGCAGCTGCCACCGAGATACGCTCCTTGTTACGGAGTTCATACATACGACACCTGTACGCAATAAAAATCATATTATAAAGAGTAGACTAATGTACTGCCTTATGCCGGTTGCGGATATTTATCAATATGTTAATTCAAAACATTGAACGGTAAATATACAGAGAATTTTATTTCACTGGGTTGCGTTACGGCGCCTATGTTTGTTCTATATGTAATAGTTTATTTACATATTCATCAATCGTCTATATTTTATAGATTTGGTATCATCAATGCGGCTAAACTGGTGAGCGATAAGCACTTTATCAAACTGCGGATCCGAGATCTTTAATTTTATACCAGCTAGTAATTCATTAATTAAATAATTACCTTTCAGAAAGGATGCGAAGCCAGTAAGTGCAATCGGCAGCTCCTCCGGCCATTGTGCCCAATAGATAATCGTTGATTACGATCACCTAAAGTAACTCACCGACAGAAAAAGGTATAAACAGACATATGCTAGTGCGATCAGTACGTGCACATTTCTGCTATAGAGCAATGTAAACCTCAATTAGGCGACAAGACAACTACGATATGATTCCGAATTCTCCCAAGTGACTATTTCTGTAAAGAACAAATATTGTCCAAATGATGTATGAGCATGTAACACGTCTCAACTGCCTGTCGCAATCGCCAGTTTACCAGCAGCAGAAAGCGTTTTTACGTAAAGAGTTCCGAATGATAGAAATCATGTTGCAATTAAAATTTCTTTTCTAGTACCATGGCTATAATGATACCTTTTGAACGGACCCCGATGCTATATAGTTTCCACCAGTTGCTCGGGAGTCAACGCAGATGCATACGCCGCCCTGATACTTGAACGCGCACGTTGTCGTTCCTGCAACGCAATTATAATTAAAAAAAAAAAAATATATATATATATATATATATGTATATATATATATAACTTGGACACAAAGATGGCTATATGTATTGCGCATCGCGGAACTAGACAAATTAGCTGTGGAAGAGTGAAACTGACTTGGCGTTCCAGGCAACAACTATGATACTGGACCTCTGACATAGTGCATATGTTCTTATACTTAGATCGATTTGTAAGAAATAAGCACACCCTTGTTGAAGTTCAGGTTCAATGGACGACCATGCTCGTCCCGCTGCTTCAGATGAGCTAACGTCTCTACAGGCTAGAATAAACAGCAGCAGTAACATCACATCTTAATTATATCATTCAGCTGAATCATTTAAGTTATTGCAAAAGATCAAAAAAAATATTTCAGTTGAGTACCATTGCACATTTGAGTGCATGAAATTTATGGTGATAGAACAGATTTAAGTAACCTCATTCTATCATAGTAAATTTCCATGATTAATATAATAAAACTGGGATGTCTTATCAACTGCATACCTCTGCAATCACATAAAAAAGAAAATTAGGTAATAACAATAGAAATATATTTCAAAGAAACAATATAGAAAAACAATAATTCTCAATCATTTTTGAGTTTCAATGTGTGACCGTGGTAATGATAAATCTTCAGAACTTTATGAAGACATTAGGTTCGGTTCTATCTATCTTATTTATCTAATAATAGCCTATCGAAAGAACTAAACAGGCAGACGTCAAAGGGGTTATCTCTCACCTCAATTCAAAGAGAAGTACACACCCCACCTTAGCAAGTACGAATTTATATGGAGCTGTTGCAGCGATCCGAAACGAAGCTTAAATTGACAACTTGAAAAAAACTGTATCGAAAGCCCACCTACCTCGGAAAATGGAGGCACACAAATTTTTGAATGAAACTTTATATTATCATCCACATCTTCCAGACTTTTCAGCTCATCATCGCATCGCGGTTTGAACGCTCGTAGATGATCGAGTCTCACGAGACTATCCAAAGCCATTTTCTTCTTCACTCACGGAATTGCGTCAATGTAAATAGTTAGACACCGGCGTTCGTTTAACGACAGAAATATCCACCGCAATTGTGAACTGTCACTGTTTTGGCTGCTAAATTCTGAGCCTGTGTCAGTATCTTAGCAGACGACGTACAACAAATTACTCTGTTTTTGGCTTCGCTGGGACAGGCAAGGCAACTGGGCACAATAGTATTTTTCTGTTTTACACCCAGTGTTACCGTTAAGCATTCCATCAGACGGCTTACTCCCAGTACGAAACGAAGCTGCTTATGTCCGGATCGGAACCTAGAGGAGAACAATGGCACCTTGCAAAAAGTTATCGCGGAAGTGAATATGAAGAATATAACTGAATGGATGAATATCGGAGTTTAGTCGAGCATGGAGCCCGGCAAACTTTGAACTTAGTCAAGTGTTAGTAACTGTCAATCGCAATCAGTTTTGCATCTGTTGAAAAGAGTTGTCACTTAAATGTCGGACTAAATCACTCAGTTATGCGAAACACAACGAGGTTGCATATCCTTTTCATTTATGTATGTTAGTTAACGCATGACTTTGGTTATAACTGTTATGTCTTAGCTGTAATAGATATGAATACTTAGATGTTTAATAATTATGATATCTAAATGGCAGCACTTAAAATTCATGACCTATATTTGACGACATATCCTATTAAAAATGCCCTATAACTCTTCCAGTTTCTTTTAGCTGAGAAGGATATCGGGTCAGTGCTTGAAAGTGTATCTTCTACTGTATTGTTACCTGTTGCACAACCAACAGCTTTGCAGGGATATTCCAAAAAAATAAACCTTTATTATATTGGTTGTAGGTTCATTCAAGTTCGCAGCACTTGATATTAGAGACCCTAGCTTAGGAGATAACTGCTTGCTTTTAAAGTGGTGTAACATTTGGAAGCGATTGGATAAACGTTTATTACCTGCCCAAAATAAAGCATGCCCACGAACTACCAAAACTATTTGTATCCGCCAATATATATATATATATATATATATATAATGTGGTAGCGAAGCAAAATGTTTTTGTATAATGCTGTACATAACAAGTACTGAGTGCTGTATACTTTAGCGATGAATCGCACATTATTTTTAATGACTGGCATTTTTTTTAGTTTGAACTATGTGATCATTGTCATTGACCTCACAAAATATCACACAGTAATCCCACCGAGGCCCTTGCAGGGCTGCCGACTGGTAAAAGGGGAAAAGTTATGCTAGGGCGAAGCCAAACGCGGCAGGTTGCGCGTCTGTACTATATACTAGCTTTTCACACTAATAGACAGTTACACAGATCTGGATTACTTTTTGCTATTGATATCAGATTGGCTTGAACCTCGTTCAGAACACAATGCCATGAACTAAACTATACAGATAAAATATGCAAACACAATTGATTGCACTACTGTGAATCAATATGCGAGTACAAAAACATTTCCTTTTTGTACCGTCATAGTTTTATTTAAGTGAACGGTAGTACAAAAGGACAAGTAACACATCGCTACCTAATGTCGTTAAACCCGCAAGGACCGTAACACGGTTTCGATAATCTATATAACGATATCTATACATGCAGACAAATAAATATAAAGAGAATGCTAACAACAGCGCGTCCGTTTTTCCGGAGATACACTTCTATAAACCTATTAGCAGACAATAGATATTAATAATACTAGTCAATCAAGTATTCATAATACTACCTATTATATACAAACAAACAACATTGTCAGTGTGATTGAACTAGCTATATATAGGGTGTACATGAGACGGTCATACGTTGTCCAGCCGTAGTAAAAAGAAGTAAGTTAAAAATCAGAGAAGATGCTGGATAAGTTACAAAGATCTGAATTTCGCTAAGCAGGCTAGTCCTTATTTTTGGAATGCATGCGAAGGACACTTAGCGGCGTTTCCAAAACTTCTAACTATCGTTGAACTTTTATGAGGAAAGTTACGGTTTTGCCGTTTTAGTTTTCTTCCAGTGTGGGTCTCTTTTTCGTTGGTCTACAGACGTGATCCTTTCTAGCAAATCACCTCAAAGCCAGCGCGGCGCCTGCTTCGGGTATTGTAAGCTGGGCCTTGTACGTTCTCGTACCATGAATTTTTCACAACATCACTCAAATGGAAGGATGAGTCTTGAAGTAATTCGCTTCGCGGTGTAGCGTCTTTCGGAGTTGAAGCCATTAGACCTTCTGAAGCACAGTTATACGAGTGAATTAAAAATGATTTAACCTTGCTTGTATTTAGAATGGATTTCTTGCTGATAGCGAACTCGAGGGTGTTATAAGGTGGCATTTATAGACCGTCCCATGAATAGTGATTTCTTCTTTACAATCCCAATGCATTTCATGCATTATTTCATAGACTATCCGCGTTATGTTTCACAAATGAAGTATCTATTTCATTCATCGTTTACAAACTACCACTTATAATCCTTCAATCTAATTAAGTAAATATTGAAATTATTACGAAAGCTAATTTTTCTCAAGATTCCGCTTGACTAGGATATTGTATAAGAACATACTGCGAGGTACTTCGTAGATACGATCAGCTAAAGCAAAGCTTCAAAACGAGTGAAATAATAGCTGGTATGTGTCATACTCTGGTAACTTGAGCTATTACAGAAAAATTGAAAAAAACGCGCCGTGGCTTTAAGGTTGTACAATAAAAGAAAAATCTCCCTTATCATGTAATAAGAAAAATGGTAAATAAAATACTGCAAATTTTTTATTAATACAATTCAAAATGGGTGTTTAGTTATTACACTTTATAACTTACCTATATTTGTTCCAATGAACGACTTATAAGTAAATGTACTATCGCAGAGCTGACTTAGCCTGCTGCGTCGTCCCAGTCCAATTTCCCTACTCTGAAATTAGACCGGAAGTTCATCATGCATGAAAAGTAAATAGTACCGAGAATTTTTTTTACTGGAAACTATCCAATCAAGAAATGCATAGAAGGTATGAGTAAACTATTCCCACCTGATTCTCGTTGTGAAAAATTGTCGAAGGAGCACTCCTATCTTTTGCGGCTTCTTTCGTCATTTTGGGGATATGCCGAGATCCCTCCATCACAAACCCATGCTTCCGTCTTTGTGCTACCAAGCCTGTGGGGTTGTCTAGCGACGATTTCGTATTTGACTTTTCAACAGTCGATGCATCGTAATTATTCGTTTTAGTATCGTTGATCAGGCGCCTATTTCCTGAGGAAGCTGTGTCATTGCTGCTGGGATCCCAGCTGCCCGTCGGCTCCGGAGGTTCCACAATAAGAGCACGCCGTCGAGACTTTGCGCTCGATAACGAGGACGTGCAAATGGCAAAATGCGCAAACGGAGAATAACCCTGACAGTCAAGGAGCGTTAGCGTGCAGTATGCACATCACGAAAAACAACAAAAGATCTACCATTTCGCGTTTAGAGTTTACGTTCGATACAGTAAGATGTTACGGTATGTTTATGTAAATAAGATTAGGCAAAGTCTATGCCGATATTCCCTATTCTGCTTATAAAGTGCAACACTCTGATCAAAGGGCACTACTAGAAAATGGTGTATTGCTTATTATTTTCATTCACCTAATGTTTTACTATGTTTACAACACCATCCCTTCGGAAAACGACACGTATGTAATGTGTTTTTATATCGTGTAAAGAAGTACATTTCTATTCACTAGATAGACTTAGCAGAGTGCAACGCAGATGCTTATGTGACGCATCAAGTGTAAGCCTAGTGGTGCCTGAAATCCAGGTCAACCGAAGCCAAGTTTGCCTTTCAAGGAATACAAGGTGTATGCGAAAAACGTGCCGATGCATAATCGTTTCTAATTTCTTTATCAGTTTTGTTGCCTTTTGAGCAAGAACTCTCCTTCGTTGGTACTGCCCGGTGAACGTTTACGTTGTCACAATCGATCCACGCTAATTGAATCGTACAAAATTCATAGCGTACATTAGAATAAAAGCCAACATTACACAGTTGTTTTGAGATCATTTCCCGTAACTAATTTTTACCGTTTGCTTAGTAAATGTTCATCCTAAATCTCGGATCACGATCGTACACATCACATACCAACATACATTTTTCTTAAAGGCTGGTCATACGCTAATGGAAGCTGCTTTGATGGTTAGGCTCACAAAGCACCCAAAGTTCGCGAGTTTCAAGTATTCTTCGTTATACAGATCGATGCGACTTTTTCGTCAGATGCACTGCCAATTCTGATGACCTGTTCTATTAAAATCTGCGGGTTTCCCTCTGCAAGCGCCGATGTAAGCTTCGCATAATTTTATAAGTTATCCAGATTACGGCTAAGTGTGATGCACAACGCCCGCATTTTCACAGAAAGTGCGCCACTTCTGAATGGTGCGTTTAATAACTATCTAGGATTCGTACATCGGGCATATTTCTGCGTCAACTTTTCTATTTTTAGAAATAAAAAAGAGAAGTCTTGGAATAACAGCTTATTAGATACAAACAAGCTCCGTGCTAACGGATAATTATAATCGCATTGTGTGTGTGAATAAACCACCTAGAGCATTTATCTCCAGGGCCAAAAGGTCAAGCAGAAAATTCTTTACGATCTTTTGGTATACCCAATATAATTATGTTGCAATTACACTTACGATAAAACAGCCTTGTACTTAAAAGTCACCTTTACCACTGTTAATGATTTAAGCCGACATCATTATCTTTATTATTTTCTTTATCCTTCAACGCCCTTTGTTCCGAACTGAAAGCTTTTTTTCAATACCAACCTTTGTAGATTCATTGTGGTAACCTGGAGCAACGATAATAATACTTTCGTCCAGGATCGTTTTTTGTGAGGTATCCCGTTTCCTGTTTCCTGGATTCGGAAGGCCTTCTGTTAATTTCGGCTTTCTCTGGCTTGTCGAGGGTTTTAAATAGGTTTTATCAAATTTAGGATCCCCATGCTGAAGTGGCAAATGGTCGGATTCGCTTGAATCGGATAAGAGTTTCATGGACGGGCTTGTAATAACGATGTCAAGCACTTCTGAAAATGTTAATTTGCCATACAAGTAATCGTAATAGCTGCAAATGGACAGCATAGAGGCCTAGTAGATTGATGATTTGCCTTGTTTTCCAGGCATGAGGGCGTTTATTATTTCTATTCATTAATTTATTCATCTCTTTACGCCTAACTATCGGCATCGCACATCCGCAATTCATAAAGCAAATTGACGTAGCGTTTGAAAGGATTATTTTTTTTATTATGTTTATTATTATTGTTAATGCTGTTCTGGTTATTATTGAATGTAAAAACAAGTGGGTTACAAGAGTCACCAGGTACAAAATGATTCAGCATCATTACGTACGATGATACTGAAAACCAACTCTATTACTGACTCGCAAAACAAGTCTTCACACTATTTTGCGCTCGGCGGTAGCATTGCATAGATAGCATCATCGTAATGATCCTTTCTTCAATGCGCGACAGCATCAGGCGTTACAGGGTACAGTCAAGTAATTTCAGTTGCTAGATTATGCTCTAAAAGTCACGCATTATGATAACTAGTAGAGCAGCTGCACTATAACATGCACCGAATGCGATATCAAAGCAATTTAGAATACCTGTAATAGGCTGTAATCCACTATCGAGTGAACTCACGGCTGGTCCGCACTTGTCCTTCTGATCGGTCCTAGTCAATCCAGGTTGTTTGTGAACATCTCCGACGTATTCAGTCTCTGCCTCAATAGCATTGTCGTCTTTTTCTTTTTTGAATAACATCCGCTTCTTACGTCGGCTGCGCTTGTCGACGTTGCAGGACGGATTGTCGGAATCAGGATTTTCGGCAAGCTTCTTACTACATTCGTCCAGCTGCAAGCGTACCTCAAACTCTTGGACTCTGTCGGATGCGCCGCAAATATCATGCGTCTCTGAGTTCGCTGTGGTTCTGGTTCTGCTGATTGCGGGTGGCTGGCTGGTTACAGGATCGCTCTGAGCTAGTTGCTCAGATAAGGTGGTCGTTATCCAATGGTTTCCGGAAGCAGGAATAGATTCCATGATCGTTGATAAACTTTCGCCGAAACGAAAATACTCCCGTTCAGGGCGATACGTGACCCCCTTGTTAAGTTCAGCTAATGATTCCATCAAGTCGACCTTAAAGAAGCAACAATAAAGAATAAGAACGCTATACGTTGCCGTGATACGTAGAAAATATTCAGGTCAGTTATTTATTATTTACGCAATTTTTGGCTTTCTTCAATAATTAATATAACTGAACAAAGGCAAGAGATATCCTAATGTGTACAATCGATACATCATGATCAGTAGTATATAAATGTTAATATTTTTTGCTTGGTGCATCTGTAGGTGCTCCTCAGTTGATACTGAGATGAAACCCACCTCCAATGAAACGGGAAAGGTGTCTTCGTTAAGCACAAAGGCCCTCATCGTCGCAACACTTGAACAAGATTGGGTTACACGCTCGATAGTGTCGAGTTGTTTACTAACTGCCTCCAGCTGAAGTCGAATCGCTTGAATCCACGGTCGACCTATAAGGGTAAGTAAGTCGATTTGATGGGTTCGCCGGCAGTTCAACTATAAACAGTCTATAGATTTAGCCGAGCAAGACTTTTCCTTCAGTTTTTACGCTAACGCACTACAATGTCACGTACGCATGTTTTTATATTATAGAGTTTTTAAAAAATACGGGTAAGAACAGTTCGATTTTTATATTTATTGCATAATTCCGAAAGGTGGTAACACTGCACGATTTGCGACACCGATCACGCTATACTTTTTAGGCAAGCCTTGCCTTTCAATAAACGGTGCTTCTGCAATGAACGATATCGTAAGTACATTCAAACATATGTTGGAAGAAAATAAGTAAATTCCACGTGTCCCTTGTATCCTACACCAATGGTTTTGGTCGCCAAAAAGGAAGACGGAATATCGAAAAGGTGTACACCTTTTTCCCCTGAAAAAGACGACTAAAAGGCCAACTACCGTGAACGATTTATATGTTCTTGTACTCACACTGTGCGTATTTGATCGCGAGCTTTTCAAGCAGCAACTGTTGAGTCTTAAAGGCTTCCTCGGATTCACGCAAGAGGTTCACTTCTTTTGCGAGCTGATGATTCAAATCTCGGTACTGAGCTCGCTCCACGTGGCAACGTTCGTTTACGCACACGGATCGATGTCGTATCGCAGTCGGATGGCGCTTTAGAATTATTCGGCCCTACCAAAAAGTGGTCTGCTTTACTTTTAACGTTAAAACATCCGAATATAGAAGGTGGCCTTCTTCGAACTCTCTTCGTTCTTATTTGTTGGAGACCTCATTGAAGCCGAAATCGCCCCACGGGCACATTTTTGCAACATTTTTGCCGCTACTTAAGTAGCGGCAAAAATGTTGCATTCGAATTGCAGTACTCTAGCAATGACGCGTTGCAGGGTCTCCCAGCATCAAGATTGTAGCAGTCTCAGAAAGCTACGGAACGTGGAAGTACCATATAGGCGTCAAATAATCAGTTTTTTTATTTTAGACCATCCGAGATACGTTACAAATATATTATAAAGCGCACAATGAGCTCGTTGTCGCCTCACAAATGTGTCCTTCTGGATATTAAGAACATGAAATTTTATTACACTGTTTGCAAATGCGATATTATTATATTCGGTGTGAGCGAAAGGTCTCTTGACGATTTGAGAGTTTCGATTCTGCATCTATACAGTGAATATGCTATATGTACAAATTGATCAAACGCATTTTTCTTCAATGTCAAAAAACCTTTGCCGCAGCATTTATAGCACCAGCAGGTTAGCAACATGAAATGACCTCCAATACCTGATTTTGTCCACATATAATTTTTTGCCTATATACACTTAAAGGAGACCTTGAAAAATGCATAGGACTATTAGACATAATTAAGCGCGGATCCATATATATGAGGTCTGAATCGTGACGACATTGGTAAATTACTCACTATGGCAGACTTGGAACGAAATGGGTTGGCGTAACATTTTCGTATTCCTTTTCGGATTTTGGCCTGCCTACACAGCATCGCTTGAAGCACAACAAGAAACTTAAACAAAAATCATTTAGCTAACTTTTTTAAACCAATCCGATCGCGTAACACTGGCGAGGCACAGAATATCGAACGTAAACAGCGAATCAGCAACGGGCCATTTGTGGCTTGACACGTTCATACGATCATAGCGTCCGCAGACACGAAACCATCAGTCTGTTTATGGTCACACGAGAAAACAGAGGGACGCCTTGGCCATTGTGCACGTCGATTTTAAAGCACGCTAGTCTGAATTTCATCAAAAGCGTTTGCTGAATTCATAACTGAGTTGGTTCCCTGCGCTCTCACGACGCAGGGACGAAGAAAATGATCGAAATAAAACATGCTCTCAATTGAAAACAGCAGACCATTTTCGTCCAACTACGGGACCTATGAAATGAGCGTCACCTGCACGGCGAACAGATGCGATTGCTGCTCTGGTTTTCTTAGATCTGTCATTCTTTCATGCGTTTTTAGATATTTCACTATTGCCGATTTGGTTATTCTTAGGAAATTATATGTGTGAAGCTAACTTAAACTGTTTAAACTTAAAGTTTGAGTAAATATCAATATATCATTATATATCATATTATGGTAAGTTAAGAGGATTATGGCAAGTTCGTATGTCTTTAAAGCTGAACGATTCCAAAGCAAAAAAAGCTATTGTTGTGGTACACATTGAATGTACATGTTTGTTTTACAAGCCATCTACGCGACGATCGTACTCCGTCAAATTTTCGCCATTTATCTGAAAAACAATTATATATATATATATATATATATACGTTTTAGGATAATAATAACTCGCAATATATAATAGCTTAGTTTTTTTCTTTCAAGATAAAATGTTCGATAAAGAATAATTGATTATCCTTGCTGGCACGTTTTATAAACATCTTATAGACAAGCAGCAATGGGGTCTGGGGGCATTTTTTTTTCAGTTATCACAAGCACAGTCATTTACCACGTTCCACCAGAGTGTTGCAGCCACAGCTGCAATCACAGAGCTCAGTGCGAAATAAGTTATTCCCCAGAGATACGACTCTTAGTTCATCAGTACTGACCCTCTTGTCTAATAAGTAGTTAAACGCTTAACGATTGATCATCACACACAAAAAAATCAATCAATTGTAGGCGATTTATCTGTGAGAACAAGTTTTCGTATTGTCAGCCATTACTCCTAGATGCAAAGTGTGGCAGTTCCCGATTGCTGAAAGTTGACTTCAAGCAGCAGGACCTTTTCTTAAGTAAAACTCTTATCGGTCTATGTGTAAATACCAGTGATCATTTGTAATAATGCCATATGCATATTGAAAGCCTGCTAATTATCGCAAACAGAAGGCATAACTCTGGCGAAACTAAACTCGATAAGACATTTATTCCTGTTTGCCGTATTTAATGTGTCTAGATCACTATTTGAAATGAACCCTCGATCTAATCGTGTGCAAAAGAGATAAACATATCAAACACGTCGGTAGCCGAAACAATGTGCTTTTGAATGGCCCGTCGACAGATGATTATAAAAATAGACATTTCAAAATAGCGTGACCTGATTAATAACGTGTTGTGATTTAGGCACGATCATAGCTAGAGGTGCTCTAGAAGGTCCTGTTTTGTGGGTCCAGTTTTCCAATATCAGCAACTCGTATGTTGTCGTTTATCATGTTTCTTCATGTGTAAGTTTATAAACTTTATACAGTTTCATTAACGAGCATCTATGAGAGATGATCCAATTTTGTGTGCGCATCTTTCTTTACCTATCCCACTTAGCTTACGGAAACTATAAAAATATTTTCATTCATTTATAAAATATTGGCGTTCATTTTACACATATGTATGTCTCCATGTTTCACAAACGATAGCGTAATTTGTATTGTACTTAGTTTTTCATAGGTATCGATATGGGCAAATAAGTTAGTAGTTTATCAAATGTCAATACCCTAGATAAGTTCTCGCAGTATATATATATGTACACAAAATAGATGGTGACCCTGGTTCCCTTTTATATAGTCTGCTCCTTTTGCAGACTCAGCGTTGTTAACTAGCGAGTGTTGATCGCCTTAGCAGGTACACCCTTTTTGTTGTATAACTTTTACCATTACTTAATATTTCAAGTTAGGCACGTCCTTCACTGGCTCTTGGAAGCATCCAATCGCAATGTCCCAATGAAATTGCCACAAGCTCCGACGAGATCTTATAACCTGATGGTAAACATTTCCTAGCCAGATGACGGAGCGCATGACCTAATATTGTGGTCCCATCAATGAAATAGTAGCACTTGAAACAACTTAGTAACTTCGATTGTATAGCCACATTCACAAACATTCGTTTTTGCATGAAACGCGACGATCGTGATCGACGGCAATAAGCGGGAACAATATTTCTAGTTCACCCTCATCCGCTTTAAGACACAGAATTTTGACGATACTAAAGCGTACATTAACATTGTATGTTTATATTATCCTTTCGACGAAAAATAAAATGTAATTTTACATTTATTTTTACGTTTACGGAGAAATGTAAATGAAACATAGCTGCAGCAATCCTAAAACGGACTCTCTCGGAAATCGTCAACTTTCGAAAAGTTCGTTTGAATTCCGAACTTTTGTTGATTGAGAAGTTACTGCATTAGTCTAACGAATCAGTAAAACAGTCCTTGCCGCTATTTTTTCGACAATGTCATTGTATACAAAAGCAACAGATTGTTGTTCAAATAACAGCTGTCACTCTGAGTTCCGGGCAGTTTCCGTCAGATGCGTCAGAGTTGTACGATTGCTAGCTTTCGGGATTGGATTATTATGCACATTTTTGCTACACAAAAAAGTCGTTTAGTCTTTTTGTTTATTTCGAGCGCCTCTAGAGACACGGGGTGGGATTATCTTTAGCATTTCGTCCTTTGCATCTATCTGTTGTCTTCCATTACTTATCTTCTTTCATGATGGACACTGTTTCCCAGTTTCAATCAGAATCATTACATGCCCTAAGTTGAGTCCGAACCGTACATTGCCGCTGCTTTCTGCACAGTCATAGATGACAGCGTGTTTCTGGATGATTAAAGCATAGGGCTCCAGGAGTTGCCTCTATGGAGGGTCGCCACCTATAGTGGGTTAACGCTTCGCTCAAATGGGCAGAGTGGTACTGCGAATGCTCAGCTGCTGCCCGTGGACGAAGTGTCAGGCCTGGTCTAACATTGTTAACCAGTCTGGTGTCGACTGGGCGTGGATTAGGGGGCCAAGTACGTCCGTGTTTGATCCCTTTTACCCCGTCTTCTACCCTCGGACTCTCTCGCCTACCCCAACTAGCCTCTGTACCATGGAGTCCAGCGTTATACCACGCCCCCAATGTTGACACCGAACTTCAGCGTACTTTAGCAGCACCATAGAAACCTACACATCCACCCACGCCCAACATGGTCCTGTATGAACGTACGGTGTCGCGCAGGACTTGTGAGTAATTGTACTATCCTATCTTCTGCATAGAGACACACACGGCTATTGCAGAGACTAGCGACAGCATGAGTTGCTATCGGTAGTGTCCTGTTTACACATACAGGACCACGAATTACACACATATAGACATAAAATACTGGGCACAAACTTGATCCTAAGCGAGTTTACATACTGATCCTAGATTCAGTTGAGCTTTAATGCTGGCCTGACGACCGTTCTCCAAGTCAGATGCGTCTAACTACTCTCGGTGTATGCACGTCGTCCCGCACCATTTAGTTGACATAGTAGTGCCGAGAGTCTTGCACCGCTTCGAAAGTTACAGGGTGGCGTGCGGCACGGTCTGTGCCCACGCCGGCATCTTGTGACCCAAGAGTATCAGGAAATATACCAATGACGTGAACGAACAGAAATACCCGAACAACCTCAAGCTCGATCACTGCCATTCGAGTGGTACGACTCCGATCTTACTGAAAATCGAAACGGGAAGCTAAGGAGTAAACAACCAAGTTTCGTGCCGAAAAATCCATGTCGTATTCATCAGCAAAAGTAAAACAAGCCCAGTGTTTTTGTGTGTGTGGGTGTGTGTGTGTGTGGGTGCGTGCGTATGCGTGTCAATACTGCAGAAAATTCTCTTGTTACCATTGCTTGTTGATCCCCATGAGCACTATACTGTATCTCTATACTACACACTACTTTTCTATACTCAATCGGCGCAATCTATATCGTTACTTATATCCAATCAAGAGTACAATTAGGGCGATCTAGCCGTAACCCTTGTCTGTCCATAAAAGATCCTGCAAATTCGCTGTTCCTCATAAAGAGGATTTTCGCGAGTTGTCGCTGATCATCGAAGTAGGATTGTTGTCGTAAAAAGAACAGGCTGTCTCCTTGTCAGCAGAGATCGTATAGAACATGCACGATTTTAGTGCCGAGCTATTATATCGCCAGTGTCCCGATTACGTCGTAACTTTAGGTGTGAGTCTGAAGCCTGAGTTCTTCATCGGCGCTGTTATTGCCATAGAGGGGTTGTGTCCAAGCAACTGATTGCAAGGTTATACGCAGTAATTAACAGATAATTATATTTACTCGGCATCGGTACGTAATAAATATAAAGAAAGTGAGTGGTGCAAGAGGGAGATTTGAATACTGTTGAGACGTGCTGGTACCTGCGCATGGAGTGTGATGATATCGGAACCGGTGGTGACGCCAGACGCGCTCAAGGATGCTATAACGTCGTCTCCACGCCACGTTTCGAAGGGAGGTCCTATGGATAACATCTATAAAAGCTACGTTTTTCTCATCCAGTCAGGCTTTGGATACTATTATACATGGTAAGCTTTAGAGATATATGATCGAAAGATATTTAAATGTTAAACAAGCTCGTAAGCATGCGCTATGCGATCATTCATTTTCACTAGTTAGAGGGTACAATAAAGAGTGTCGTAGCAGTCTGGCACAGCCCGACCATCCGTTTGGTTCAATGAGGGACCAATGGACTTGATTTAAGTATGTGGATGAACAGCGGGTTTACATGTTGCTGATGAATGTCGTTTTCCATATCTACTCAAAAATTGTGTAGTAGAAAAAATATCGTATACAAATTATGTGGTTTAGAACGACTGGAGATAATTTCATTCAGAGCTTGTTTATATTTTTTTTAATGATAAAAATTGTATTAGTTATATGGTGAGAGTGTTGTCTATGTAATGCTATGTCATTAGTTTTCTGTTTAGGGAGGACGCTGCGCAAAGTATTAGCTTTAATACGTTCAAAAACATACCCCATCTGCAATTTTATTGAAGGAACAGTCACGCTGCCAGGGCTTGATTCGTGCCAAATATAATTCAATAAAAATTCATAGAACAAATCAAAACTGGCTTATCACTCGATGACACACGAAGTCGAAGGAAGGGTTCGAATCTCAATAGCCACATGTATTATTTTCGTTTCTGTCTAGGGTGAAGTGTGCATAATAGTTCACTTGTTTTGGACATCAGCTAATCATTTCAGATCGATGAAGGTAATTAAGCTACCCTATCCAAAGGGCACATATCGTTTGCTATGAGCGAGCGATACGATTCAACGATTGTATATTGTCAGCTATTCGATCTCAACCGTATTAATATATATATATATATATATATATATATATATATATATATATATATATATATATATATGTTCCCAGGTTTCTCAGAAGACGAAATAGCTACAAAAAGAAAATTGTAAGTTAATGTTACAGGTAAAATTGCGACAGCGCAAATTAAAAATCGACAGCCTTGTACACGATGTAAGATGTATACGAATCAAAGATATCAATAATTCCATCCAATCCTCTTTTATTATAGGTTAGTTTATCGTCAGCTGGGAAAAATCAGACAGACCATAGCATAGTTTATAATTATTATTCTATAATAGTAATATAATTATTTTGAAGAGATATTGTCTATGTCATAACTGTTATTGATGATATCTTGTTCGGTTTCTAAAATACATCCGACGAGTTCAACGCGTTGCCTGCGCGGACGCTGATCAAGCGATAACGAAAATCAGTAAGTTGAATTTGTCAACACAGACTAAGCACTTAGAAAAGAACTTGCAGGATGTTATTTTTAGTCGTGAGTTATTTAGAGAAAAAAAAAAGTATTCAAAACAATTAATTATGTAGCTTATATACATGGAAATAGAAATTCATCGCGGTGCGGTTCTCGTATTTATTTGGCATTTTATAGGCCCCCTCTTCCGACCGCTTCAAGTATGAGAGGGTTACTGATCTCGATCTGCCGTTTCTCAATCTGTCAACCGCTATTCGCTAAGGGCCTCTCGTAGATGAAGGATAGCCTGAATGAAGCAGATCTAATGTACATGTTGTATGAGAAGGGTAGCTCTGGCATAACCTGAGAGCTTTTCGTCTGTGTTTCTAATGACTCTTTGATTTTTTTCAACAAAATACTAGCGAGATGATGCTTAACTGCTACCCATTAGTGGCTGAGCGTTTGCCGCGGCCGTCCTTTCGACCGTGATTTTCTCTCGCGCTGTCAGAGTCGCCACTCAGAGAGGTTTCGCATTCGTTGCATAACGTCCCACCACACCAGGCTCGACGGAAGCCAAAAATATGTGAAATTTATTCCAAGCTATATTAAATAATGTTTAAGTGGTCCTCTCATTTCTTTATTGCATCTATAAATACATCTAGATGACGGCAGAAGGGTTAAAGTAGGCAAATAAACTGGCCTGCAGCTATCAATTCTTCGAATGCAATTACCACTTCAGTATCATGGCTCAATAACTGTGACTGTTACGATCCTATACAAAGCATCTAAAGTGTTTTTCTTTTGCCAGTGTCTTAGATTAGATTTCTAGCCATAATGGTATATTTATTAGCATACAAATTTAGCTTTTAGTATGAAACTTCTGATTTCTCAAATTCATCCATAGAAATTAGACCTTCAGGCTAGGACGATACAAAACTAGAAAAAGGACTGGCTTAAGTTTAGCTTTGCCACAAGCAAGTAAACACAAGTAAAAAAAGTTTTGATATGACAACGGCACCGACATAACAGGACAAAGCTGTTGGAAATTATCATTAAAAGCTGTTATTCCAAAAGCATCAATTCATGTAACTCTTGATGTACAGCTCCTACGTCTTCTGGTCAAAAGAGCAATATCTTACAACCATACAAACAAGATGAAAGCTTTCTATCAAATAAACGTATCGTAAACGGGTACAGTTGTCACGCAGTAACATTACATAACTATCTATCCTATACAACAGGCGTGACTAAATAGATAAAACTATTTATCAATCAACTCCAATGAGTCACTCAAACTAAGGAAGTCTGCACTATTTAGAAACGTTAATGAGCGCGACTCTGAGTAATTCGCATTACGTCCTCATCAGGGTACAATCGTCGACATATTTCATTTTGACAATCAGTATCTACTTGCCTTTTTTTGGATACGAATAAGCATTAAGCTGTCTTCTTTCGCTCAGGCTTCAATTATGTGAATCTACGTCTGCAAAATATTTTATGGCATTATATGGAATATATAAATCGGTCGAACTGAACCTCTCGCTTGAATACATGATCCACTGGGTTGTTAATATTTTTATCATATATTGATAATATTTTAACGTAGTGATGTTCGTGCGCCTCATGGTGTAACCTGCACCCCGCGTGAATCCTAGTTCATGAATAAGAAAAAAATATAGTGATTGTCTTCATGCAAATAAACCAGAGACCTAAAATTCATTTTTTAAGGATCAGCAATTCAACGCGCATTACCTAATTTCGTAAGGTCTTTTTGTAAGGTCTGTTGAGAAGTGCGGATATTCGTGAGATCTTGCGAGTCTGCCTGGGTTCTCCATCCCGACTTAACGGCCTTGTTCCAAGCTGAGTTTACGTCAATTGTTACAAAGTTAATTGCGAATCTATGACAGAACCTTTTTCCGAGCTACACTTGAGTTGCGCCCACATGAGTTCAACGACTGTTGGCGATATCGTGTTCCGCTCAATGTGTATGTGCATGCATATGTCCCTAAACGTGGGCAAGCAGAATGGCCCAAAGGAAGTTGGTCACACGAAACTATAAGTAATTGATCAAGGTTTTAGCGACCTGATTTCGTGGGTGAATGAAAGGATTTGGAGAGATGTTGGGTTGCCATTAATTATCCAGCTGAAGCCAGTAGTTTACTAATTAGGGTTGGATCAGCATCTCTACATCTGTGTGTGTGTACTTTTGGAGGTCTAGCTCTCACAAATGACAGAGGGGCTAATAAGGCCGTTAAGATACAAACGAACGCAGCGCCCTCCGTCCGATGGCAGCTTCACCTTTGTACATACCGTATAGACTTGGTCCTTTTAGCTTCTCCGGGAGTGATAGCTCCGATCAATCGCTAAGGCTGATCAGGGTGCTTTGGGCTTGGACCTTTGATGATGGCCGAAGGACATCGACAGATACCGTTCATTCACCAAAACTCGAGAAATGTAATCAGTCAGAAATACCATGCCAGAAAAGCTAGATGGAATTTGTAACAGGTGAAGGTGCTTCACGTTAAAAATCATTTGCTGCAGAAGGCCATTGTAAGCGTGTATTTGTGATTACAGGTCGACAACATCGAATCTAAAATAAAAAAAAAGGCTTATTTCATTAGACCAATGGTCGGACTGTTCCTACTACGACTGGTGAAATAGTGCGATTGATGAACGGGACGTGCGTTGCTGCACGCACATGCAGGCGGGTTGTACTGCGACATTGCAAGGTTTCTTTAGGTGTAAGTAGGTGACACTACTTGGATACAGAGACGATTTAATTACCATTAGCACAATTTATTTAATGATAAATAGACAGAAACATTGCAGAGAGAACGAAAATGGTCAAGTCAAGTAATTATCGGAACGACAAATAAGTATGCTGTCGTCGTATAATATTCACCAGCTAAATAGTTAAACAGTAGTAAAAGATAAATAATCGCTCACTATTAAGTTATGAACAGCGGCTCATACTTACTGATACGTCATTGCACCGACGTGATAATGGTCAGGTCATCTTAGATGCACAGGATCCTGCTAGCAAGCAACTGAAGAACACGATCATTCTGTTTCAATCGATCAGGTGTAAATTGCCGGAAGAGGGCAGACAATGACCTGGAAAACGTTAGCACCATGTCGTATCGCTGCTCGTCGTATATGAGTTGATAGCTTTATACATTGCTGATCTGGGTTTACGTGTCGACCGCGCATTATGTAGAGCTCTCATTTGCTATGCTCCGATCTTCAACAAAGATATATTTAATATGGGCGTATGTGTGTGTGTGTGTGTTTGTGTGTGTGGTGTGTGTGTGTATGGGTGTGTGTGTGTATGGGTGTGTGTGTGTATGGGTGTGTCTGTGTGTGGGTGGGTCTGGGTCTGAAACTGTCTATTGAGTACAGCAAAACATCTTTTTTCGTCTGCTGAGACGAGCCAAGTCCAACTGCTCGTAGGTGCATTGGCTGACATCGATGTATTGAGTCCCTAACCAATGAGCTAATTAAACAGAATATTTTAATCGTAATATGAAGAACGCATCGAATCATCGTATAATGGACCAGCGAACACGGTCCGAGCTTTTCCGGTGCCAGATGATTCAAAAAACTTAGTTTTTGTTGAAATTACGTGTAGTGAAATTAATGGAAGTTAACTGGGGTTACATTTACATCGAAGTGCATGACCCACCCACATATCCCTCGTTATATTCCTCGATTGGTAGATTATCTAACTAGAAAAGTAATTAGGTGAGCCTTAGTGAGTAATTAGGTGAGAAAAAAGCTCGAGTAACGAAAGGTATCGT